ATATATATATATATATATATATATATATATTTCTTTTTTTTTTTATAATGTCTTTATAATGGTAACTATATAAATTTGACATATTACTGTGGACCCCCTTAAGTACTATCATGGACTTCCAGGGGGCCACGGATGACAGTTTGGGAACCTCTGGTCTAGTGTATAGCCATCTAGTGCTTTGTCCGATATACACATTTGGTTTAGTGGATACCTTCTTAGTGCTAGATCTCACCCAGTACTCATTTTGGTCTTGTGGACAGCTACTTAATAGTAAATGTAATGTACCCATTGAACTAACATATTGGGTAGTTTAGTGTCAAATCCAACAACATACTCCTAATCTACAGTAGTAGATACCTTCTAACCTTTGTTTAGTGAATAGCATTCTGGTGGTGAATCCAATATACCTCTGAGCTTAGTATCAGGGATAACCTCCCAATGGATTCCACAGAGTCCCTTGTTTTAGCCTCATGGATAGCTGTGAATAGTCATTAAGATGGATATTTGTACTAAAGTATTCTAGTCCAAGACTGAAAATTCAATTTTTGGATTAGTTTGAATTTGTAATTTCACACATTTAATTTGATGCAGGGAGGATGCCATGATGGAGTACCTGAAGATAGCCCAAGACCTGGAAATGTATGGAGTTAATTACTTTGAGATCAAGAACAAAAAGGGAACAGATCTTTGGTTGGGTGTTGATGCTCTGGGCTTGAATATCTATGAAAAAGAAGACAAGTTTGTATCTTAAAGTATTAATGGTTTGCTAACATTAGAAGTGTTAATTGTTATGTAGATTATTTTCATTTTTGCATAAAAGTTATTAATTAAATGCTTTCTGTATACTTGTAGTATTTATGTGTGAAAGCTTATGGAAAAAATGAGATGTTTAAGTTTTAAGTACTTGCCCTGTGTCAGAAACTAAGTTATATTTGCCAACAGTCAATTAACACTTTCAGCAAGGGCTTGGTCCCTAGGACCAACCAGGTAACCATTTTGTGCTTGTTATAGTTTTCATGCTATAACTTTTAAACTAGTAAGTGAATGTTAATGATATTTGGCAGTTTATCAGTAAACATCACAATACCTTCATATGCGAAACATCAGATTTTTTTTTATTAAGGTTTGTGAAGTAATGTTTTTCTTGTGACTTTTTTTTTCTTTTTACATATCGCCTATCTATCATGCAAAGTAATTTTCATTTTAAGATGAAAAATACTTTTATGCTTCAAACATTTCTTAAGAAAAAAACTATTTTATCAGTTATTTTCAGTAATTAATTTGTATGAGTTTGGTAGATTTGACCGATCTCACAACCACCATAAAAGAGTTTGGAAATAAATAGAAATTATGCCTCTTTCATTCTAGAATTAACATAAATTATAACACAAAAACATAAATGTTTAGACAAAATAGCTTTAATCTCATAATGCTATACATTTATTTATATTTATTTTTATTATATTGACCTTTCAGCCATGCCTGGCTAACGATACAGAAGTTACAATGACACGGCACATGTACACTCATGTTACCGTATCAAATAACATAAAACTGACCTTTGGTATGTACAAAGTAACTTATCTTGGCTGTGTTTTAGTAGACCAGTGTTTTGTAAAATAGTCACATTTCAATTATTATACATTACATATCTATACAGATTATTGTTATTTTGAAATAAGTTTTTTCTTAAAACATAGAACAGTAAATAAAGGAGTAATGCAAACAATTATCTCTTCTTGTTATGACCTTTGTACTCGGTTGCTGCTTGACATAGGTTGCTAAGCCTTTAAAAAATTTGCACGTGGAGGATATGAATAATTTTTTGTAGGTTTAATATATATTTGAATAACTAAAAAAGCATAAATTACTACATTAATACCATAGAATTCCACTATAATTTATTAAGCATAGTAACTAAGATGTATTTTAGCCTAAGAAAATATGAAATTTCGAGCAGACTAAAAACAACCTACCTCGTTGAAATATTGGTTCAAAAGAAAGAAATGGCATCCAAGCCCATTAAAATGGCTAGGAAAGCCACTAGGGGGTCATTCTGAGCTTCTTATTGGTTATTTATTTCATATATAGAAGTAAGTGTATATAAGGGAGCGTTTCCAAAAATGGAAAGATGTGGGTGGGGTGCCACTGTTGATTTATTACATGAGCAATATTTTAGTAAATTGAAAAGATACAAGGCTCTTGTATTAAATTCTAGCTTATCAACATCAGTAATTTGAGTTTCTAATTTGTTCAAAACTATAGACTTCACAAACATCTAATTTGAACCAGTGCTGCATTCAACACACCACATAATACATAAAAATCGATGTTTTATCTGCGTTTTTAATATTTGCTTTTAAATCAAGAAATTGAGTAATATATAGTACTAAAATTTGAATTATAATCTACAGTTTGGTGCCAAAATTATTGACATAAATTCATGAAATAGTATTTCAATAAAATTTTGAATGCGAGTCTACAAACGAGATGATATGGCCTTTCACCCGTGACCTGTCACGAAAGGGTTAAAATCTTTTAGTTATAATTATGTTGTAAGTATAAGTATAATATGTGTGTTGTTGTGTTTAGGTTCTTCTGCAGTAGGTGTCTAACGTTTTAGCAATAAATTAATAAACAAACAGCACTCACTCTTGTTTTCAAAATAATATATATATTCGGAACTAATTAAATGTATGTACAACAAATTATTCACACAAAAGAGATTATTGGCATATCATAAACACTATATAGTTCTTTTCTTGTCAATAGTCCACTTAGGCCTATTCAGTTGCTTTAGAATTTTAGTTGACATGCCAGACTTTTTCTCTATTTCTGTAGCCAAACTATCTGAGTATAGTTCATTTACACTATCGTCAATTACCACGGTTGTATGTTATGCTTCTAAAATTGTCTGCTCCTTTTTTTTTCTCTCTATTTCTGAGAATCATATGTCTATTTGTCAAAGTCAACTGGGGCTAATTCAAATACTTTAGAACTCTCTGTGAAATAAACTATTGTTATTTCTTTCAACACTGTTAGTCTCACTTTAATAAATCAACTGTTAGGCCTATATTAATTGTTAGGTCTTCCACTTCTATGATGATTAACTTTGTTTAACTTTTCTTTGGCCAGATTCCTTCTCATAACTTTACTCCTTGTCTGCTCTGTATTTGCTTGTCTGTCTACTATTCTCGCTCATCTTGCACTATTTATTTGTTTATTACTTAATCGTCTGCTCACTATATACAGGGCATCAATAAATTTCACGCAATGTTCTATAATCTCTACATCAGTGAGTTATAAACACAACATATGACTTACCAGTTTACATAACTAAACTTGTCATAACATTTACTTTAAAATAATTGCTTCTGACTCTCTTGTTATGTACAAAACTAAACAGTCATAAAATATTCACTCAAAAAATACATTAATCAATAATATCTACAATGAACAGTTTTTTATATCATGACACCCTGATAGTTAATATAAAAAAAAAAAGTGATTTTTTTTCATAAATGTGGAGATGTTAGAATGAATTATGAAAGAAAATTATTTTATACTGTACTTTTTGTAGGTATGATCTAATTTTTATTTCATGATTTTGCTTGTAAAATATATATTTTGAAAGAAAATGTTTGAATTTGGTGTTTTGTTTTTTTTGTTTGTTTTTTTTAGGCTGACTCCAAAGATTGGATTTCCATGGAGTGAAATACGAAACATTTCTTTTAATGATCGAAAATTTGTCATCAAACCGATTGACAAAAAAGCTCCGGTAATTTGTGGTGAAAGTTTCCTTTAGGTTTTGATTAGTATTGAATTGGCTATCATTTAATGCTTCTTAGAAAGAAACTGTTGAACGGAATTTTCATGTATATTATTCAAGTGTCAGGCACACTGGACTTTTTCCAGACAAAATTTTGTAGAAGTTGTGGAATGTTATTTGATGTCTAAAATGTACTAATTTTATAGAATAGAGAAATGAGTAATATGTGAAATGGTATTAAAAATAAGTTTGTCTTTAAAACTTGATACACTATTTTGTGTGAGTGAATGCTGTCATTCTAAATAATTTTGTTTTAATATTGATTAATTATCACATTATTTGATATAACTTGTTAAATATATTTAACTTTCTACGTGTGTTTTATGAAACAAAAAAGCTATAAATTTTTGTGGAAATTTTCTCTAGTGATTTATGGAAGCCTATTTATAATAGTCACTAATGTTAGTATTAATGTTTGTCTTTTCCAGGATTTTGTTTTTTTTGCTCCTCGGCTGAGAATAAACAAAAGAATATTAGCCCTCTGTATGGGAAACCATGAACTATATATGCGTAGGCGCAAACCTGATACAATTGAGGTACAACAAATGAAGGCCCAAGCACGTGAAGAAAAGCTATCAAAACAACAAGAGAGGTAAATCTTTAAAGGTTCTCATGTAAACCTTTATTAAAGTTTAAATTTTTAATTTTGTAGTGGTTTTAATAGAAGCTGAAATGTAGCAGTTGTACATACCTGAATTCTTGTATCAAGTAGCCATTGAGTGCATGATGACACTGACGTAATATTTCTTCGGATGTCATGGTGTAAGAGAACAGTTGTCTGTGAAGAACAGCATCATAGTGTAAAGATTACAACCTTAGTCATGTTAGTTGTTGGTTCAGTGGGTGACTTCCTGAGATTAGTTGCATTTCTAAGGACAATGTTTCAGGTCATGTATTAACCTTGAGAGCACTTCCTCCAGTGTTAACCATGCTTTTATAGATGGTCATGATTATGCATTATTGCTTGAATCTACAGTTTCCATTGTAGCAAGCTTTTCCAAAGGATGACCACACACTTCTTAAACTTTTCACTGTACATGTATTTTGGCTTTCAAGAAATAAATGTTGGTACTTAAAATCATGATTTTGTGTTTGTTAAAACTAGTGACTTAAAATAGTGTCAGTTTGGGATTGTTAGTGATTTGACCAATGTAGGATATACAATTACAGACTTTGCACTTCTCATAGAATTTAATCCAGGACGTTATGCTTTGGTAATAAGTTTTGTTTCGTTTGTGAGTTGCAATACTATATTATGGTAAGGGAATGTAATTGTTCTTATATTTATGGATGAGACATACACTTGTTTATTTTGTTCACTGAAATGGTGTTATTCTCAGAGATAAATTACGAAAGGAGATAGAAGCTAGAGAAATGGCAGAAAAGAAACAACAAGAATATGCAGAGAGGTTGAAACAAATGCAGGAAGACATGGAAAGGAGACAAAAGGGTATTTGTAATTATTGATGAAGTGTATTTTAAATTGTATGGTTAGGATTAGCAATTAGTTAAATTAAAATGTAATATTTACCAACTAAATGAGAAAAAAGCTGCGACTTGTTTGTATGTTATTCATGACAGTCTAATTTTTACTACTTTGGAATGTAAGTGTGTATTTGCAAGCTCAGAAACTTGCCACAAATGAAATATATAGTTGATAAACATGTTGCCCCTCTTGCTACACTCAGGTCTAAGGTATTAGATTAATTCTTGCCATTCCAGAATCTTGTATTATTTAAACAAAATTCGAATGTTCAGATTTAGAATCTTACTATCTATATTTATTAATAAAGTAATAATAAAATCCAAACTGCTAATTTTGATTTTTGGCTCCCCTCCTCCCCAAATTATAATCACTTCACATACAAAACAAAAGCTGCAAATATGTTGTCTTTGTATTCAATTGTTATTTATAGCTCAAATGATTTGAAACAGTTAATATTTTAATTTGATGTCAAATTCAAAGACTTGTTGTTTAAAAGGAAAATCAAAAAAACTTCCAAGTTTCAGATCTGTTTCTTTCTTATGAAATGGAAGTTTCTAAACTTTTAAGTGTTTTGCAATAATCTGAAAACATGTTTCTTATTTGCATGTTTTCTAACATAATAATTTTCCTTTTTTGTTTATTTTCACTTAATAAGACTCAGTCTGGTAACTTAACTATTGAGTCTTATGATGGATTTTTTCTGAACATGGGATTAGAGAATAGCAGAAGGTATCATATAATTTCTGAAAGGAGAACAAAGGTAGAATTTAAATATAACATGGGAAGATAACCTGTGATTGTATTGTTGCTAATAAATTATGAAACCTACCTCTTGGCCTAACATAGCCTAGTGGCTAGGGTGCTTAACTTGCAATCTGCCATGGGGGCTTTATAATGTGATGGTTAATCTAAATATTTGTGGGATTTTTCAAAATCTGATATTGTTATAAAGTATAGAGGTTTTTATATATTTATTTTATGCCATTCAGAGCTCACTGAAGCCCAAGAAACTATTAGGAGATTGGAAGAACAGTTACGTCAGTTACAAGCAGCAAAAGATGAATTAGAAAAGAAACAGAATGAACTTGAAGAAATGATGCTTAAACTTGAAGAGGATAAAGCCATGGAAGCAGAAGAAAAAGCAAAATTAGTAAGATTTACGATTTTGGCTAATAATTCATGAGAATGTAGAAGTATATTTGAGGCATTGTTCAAATTACAAAACTATGCGAAATAAAACTATTTTGTCAGTTTTTTATGAAAGGGCTAATAACATACCCGTAAATGGTAATAGAAGTGATAAAGTTGTTTTATGTTACAGAATCTGTGTAGTATTTAACTTTGGTTCAGTTTTTGGTTCTCAAGATATTTCATGCTTAAAATTAGGTAATTTATTGCAATCTTCTTTCAAGGAAATAATGAGAAAATATCATAGTATTATTCTTAGGGCTATGTAGAATCGAACTTGAAATCTGGTCATTAACTTGATTTGACTATACGTTGTAGTGTAGTAGGATTTCGTTCTTAATCCAAGACAGCTTGCAAATGGGTTAGTACTAACAAAAGAACAAGTTAAATAAAAGCTTGCATTAATGTTTCAGTTTTGCAGATTATTTGATGTTTTTAATTCTTAAATCATTTTCTTTTTTACCAAACTTGATCTGTAGGCTTAATTTCCATTCTTAGTGTTGTGAAGAAAGCTACTTGCTTAAAGCTAGGTTGTACTTTTTAAAAAAAAAAGTATTTAAATAGATTTAAAAATTATATTTATATAAAAGAAAACATTTAAGTAAAATGTTTTCAATTTTTTTTAACTTTCATAACCAGGAGAAACTGAAAATTTTGATATATGAAAAAATATCAACTTTTTATTTCATTGAGTTATATATTTTGTTGAAGGAAGTCACCATGAATCATGTATCACTCGATTCTTGGGTTGGAAACTGTTATCTAAGTATGCCCACATTTTCCATTTCAATAGAAAATAGCAAGAGTATCAAGTATGCTCCTATCTTAAGCAAGGAGTTAAAAGTAAAATTTCTGTATAAAATTTTAAATTATAATAGTCTAAAATTGTTTATGGACCTCAATACTGTAAATTTTAATTTGTTGGAGAATTGTACTTTTATTAATTAAGATTTTATTAAATCTGTTTGTAGGAAGAAGCAATCCGAACTAAACAAGATGAAGTTCATAAAATTAAAGAGGAAGTATCTCAAAAGGATGAAGAGACCAGAAAACTCCAGTTAGAAGTGGAGGAAGCCCGTAAGCGTCAGGAAGAAGCTGCTGCTGCCCTTACGGCTGCTACAACAACCCCCCAGCACCACCATGTGCAGGAGAATGAGCATGAGGAGAATGATGATTTAACAAATGGAGAAATTGGTAATGTGTGCATTTGTTTGATATATTCAAACTAAAAAAAATTTAATCTAAGAATTGAATTTTTTTTATATAATATATAGTATTGTATACTAAATTGTTGAGACTTTGAACAAAGCAATATATTATCCACATTATGTGAAAGCATACAAATTATGCTAGTAGTGAAATCAATGAGCTGCTTAGGAATTAGATGTGTGGAGTACTTAACAGTTTGTGGAATAATCAAGGATTGAATGTATGTTATTTCTTACAATTTAATGAGTGGTTTTGGGATGTGTGTAATTTTAAAAAATGTATGAATAATTCACACAGTATTTACTTGCTACTCAAATCTATACTTTCTATATAAAAGGTGAATTGGACTAATTAATTTTTCAAAAATGAAATGGCACAACCATAACGTAATATTTAGACATTCCTACAGGTGCTGAGCTATACCAAGAAGAAGATGTTAATTTGTTTCGTCCAGAGGAAGACAGAATGACACAGGTATCCAAGGAAAAGCATCTGCAGGACCAGTTGAAGGTTTGTTCTGTGTCTGAAAAACAGATACAACTCAGTGTTTTTAATATTCATCAGAAATAGATCAATGTTGATTATGTGTAAGTGTATGAAAGATTTGGGTTTCTTATAATGCTTATGCTAATTATATTAACTGTGCTTTACATGTCAATATATTTTATGTCATTATAATTTTTTAAATTTTATTTTTATTACTAGCAATTGAACAAAGAATTATCTGCTGCCAAGGATGACACAAAATTGACTAGAAATGACCTTCTGCACCAAGAAAATGTGCGTCAGGGTAGAGACAAGTACAAAACTCTACGAGAAATTCGGAAAGGGAATACCAAACGAAGAGTAGATCAGTTTGAGAACTTGTGAAAGGATTTCTGATAGTGGCTTGTTTTGTATGTAGCAATTGGCTAGAATCTATCTCTAGCGGTGCTGGACTTAGTGCCTCATGTTCTACCTAACATGTGTATTGTTAAGTTTTTAAATCAAAATGAGCCATTCCTTATAGAAAATTATTGCTATATTATTACAGTTTAGAAAAGAAAAAGTTGTAAGTTACATGCTGATCTTTGTGTGCTCAATGTTGTGTTTATTCTTGATCTTTATAATATCAGGAACTTTTTTACTAAGTGGATTTTTTATATATATGAAATAGGTAACTGTTTTGCATTAAGGACCTGCATGAAACCTTGTAATAAAATGATACAAATTACTGTCGCAACACTTGCCAGATCTTATTTAATACAAGTTTACGCCCTTGAACTTGTTGAGATGCCTACTGGTTTGGGCTTGGTAACTTCCTTATTTTTCTGAGTGGTCATTTTTGCAAAAATGTCAAAGTTGAGTTGCTTGTAAAAAGTATTAAAAAAATTATTTCAATAAGTTTACTTGAGTATAAAGCTTTCTTTGGAAACTTTTGTAAGTAATTCCCTTCCATTGATAATTTTTAGCAGAACCCTTATTCCTGAAATGTATCCTCCTGTAAAATTGAGATCACCTTGCTGTACATGCTTCTTCTGGACTGCACCTTTTAATCCTCCTCCTGGTGTCATTTTAATTTCTTTATATTTGACTTGAAGATAGTAGAATTTCAGTTTCTTGTTAATGGGATGGGTCATGTACCCTAGCATGTTAAGCATATCAAAAAATGGAGAGTGAAGCATGAGAGAAAATGTGTGAGATTGTGGTGTTCATAACTGGTGCTCTGGTAAGATCATAATTTGAATATTTTTGCCTTGTGTCGCCAAAATATCAATACATAGCGAAAAGATTTTAAAGTTTTCCGATCGAAAATAGAATATCAAAAACTCGTTCTGTGCTGTGTTTTACTTAGGTTGCAGAATAAATCCAAGGTTCAACAGGAAAGATGTGTTTGATGTATTTCTTAATGGTCATAATTTTAATAAGATCACATGATTTGAAATACACAAATTCAAGCTTGATGTCCTTGAAAGTAGTTCTGAAAATTGGAAGTTATAAAAGCATATAGTTTATACTTTTTTTTGAAATAATTTTATCCTAACAATATTTATGAAAATGTTGTGTAAACTGTTACAAAGTTTGAAGAGTGCTATGCTTTAGAGAAAAGTTAATAATTGAATATTTTTTTTTACACTTGCAATTTTGGAAACTAATTTTTAACAATTCCTCCTCCCACTCATCATAAGTATATGCTATTAATGAATCTCAGACTCGTCTTTTCAATATACACACACGTAGCTACCTAATAATTACACATCTATCATTTATGTGAAAAGCTGTTCAAAAATTATGCCAAATTTGTCTTGTAAAGAGATCTGTAAAAGTCTACAAAAAATGTTGATAAGCTATATAAAGTTTTTTCCATCTGTGTTGAATTTGATTATTAGTTTTGTTTCCATTCAAACCACAGCTAATGAAGTTGTTGAACTATGTCGGATTATTTTTTTTTTATTTGACACATTTCTCGGAGGTGTTTTATTAACTGCTGATATTCAAATCATCAGGTGTTACGTAATCATCCAAGAATGTGTACAACGTTACAATAAAATGAGTGGAATGATAGTTTAGATGGTGATATTTTCTTTCTCAAGTGGATATTACAGAACTAATTTTTATTAACAACAGCACATTCTTGGTATTGTAATACAGATGAAAAAAACAAAAGGAATTACATGTATTGCTGAATGAATTAGTCTATTATGGAAGATTTTATAAAGTTAAATGTTCAATAAAAGTTCAATAAAATGTGAAGAACAGTTGCTTACTATTTCTTTTAGACTTTCAATCCTCAGTTTTTTAGAAATAACATTTTTTTTAAACTCTTGATGTCAACAGCTGTTCTCTCATGATAGACTAACTTGTAAACTGAGTATTTTTAATTAATTAATTAAAATCAATCAAAATTGTTTTGTAAAACAATTTATCTCATTAGCAAGAAATTCATTAAAAGATTTCCTTAATAAACTATTTGTTGACTTCAAAGCACAGTAATTATATTTAGAAAAATTGAAATTGCAGGTCTTTAATTACTATTGTACATATCATTTTCCAACTAGAAAAAAACATTGTTATTGTAGTTTAGCATAAAACAAACAAATTATGTAATTGTATTTATCTATAAAGTTCTATACATGTATAAGATAAACAAAGGAAAAAGAAACTCCACATAGAATATGCAGCAAAGCAAATAAATTCAGTGTTCACCATTATTTCACTGAGTAATTGCTCTAATGTGTGTAGTCTAACATTATTTACAAGATGTTGTTCTAGTTGATTTCATGAAAACAATAGCATGTTGGAACCCCAACTTTTTGTGGTGTCAGTTTTTAGCATAAAATCATGCACAACAAACAGGAGTGATTGACCCCAACAATCCTGTAATTGGCATCTGCTTTCATTGAAAATATCTTAATGAATTTCCACCGTAAGCTACTTTCATACTAGCATTATTTACCTAATATTTGCCTTAACATTTCTTTATTTCTTCACTAACACATTTTCAGAGTTTTTGTCTTAATCTTACTCTCGAGTTTTTGTTTTTATACACACCACTGTAATGTTCATTCATTGGTTTCACTTTACTTAAAATGAGGTGCTCTTTTGTTTCAATCTGGAAGCTCGGGAAAACGTCTTACATCTAAAATATGTAGATTTTTAGTCTTAGTAATAAATTTAAAGGAAATTATATACTGTTTGATAAGAAGGAACTCACTTTTAAGAAAAAAGTCTTGGAACGGCTTGACTGGGTAATGAAAAACTGTGACGTTTCGACAAGGTTTTGTCATCCTCGGGTAGAATATTTTACAGCGACTGTGTGTGTGTGTGTGTGTGTATGTATATATATAATATGGAGTATAGAATAAAGATCACATGATAGGATATTGCTTCACAATCTGATATCGATGAGTAGGTACCCCGGGTCAAGTCGTCTCAATATTTTAAATTATATACTATTTTTTTCAGTTGGGTTAACATCTTATTCATGTCTGATATGAACATTCCGGTTAAGGATTGGTATGTTTGAATGCCCACCTAATCTGATGAGCTCTGCCATTGGGGGAAAAAAAAAAAAAACTCGATGGTAAAAGTACGTATCACGCAGCGTGTGTGGTCTGCGTATTATTATATTCTTATAACTAGAAATCTGTAGAGGACTCTTAAAGAAAGAATAATTAAATTAATATCGGTTTTTATAGTGATGTACTGTTACATAAACCACTAGACTATACAGATCACTCTTCCATGGCGTAAGTTCTATACAGTGAAAATCGATAAAGTTTACACTTGCTTATAAAAGGCTGGTGTTATATTCGTAAGAAAACAAAGCTGATTCCACCTTTTAGGCATTCGTTCTCTCAAAATAATAGTGCAGTGTTTACCATTAAAGTTGGACCATTTATGAGTGCTTTCGAAAGGTGGACCATCTTATTCAAAAATCCTGGTGGTTAGGGCGTTCGATTCATAATCTGAGGATCGCTGGTTCGAGTCCCCGTCACACTGAACATGCTCATCTGTGGGGGGCATTATAAGTTGACTGCAAAAAATGTCAATCCCACTTTTCTTCGGTAAGTAGTAGCCCAAGAGCAGATTATGGACTGCTAATGCAGATAGCCATCGAGTAGCTTTGCGCAAAATTCAACGAATAAACAAATTGTTCTTAATTAATTCAAAGCTGTTCATCTTAATCTATTACTATCTTAGCTTATGAAAATAATCAACTAATATTAATTACTAGCTTCGATTATTCTAACTATCCAAGTCTCGTGTGAGGATAATCGATTGGTTGAATGAAATCGATTAATGAGCTCGATGGTTAATCGTTTAGCAAATTCCACTAATCGCCTATCTCTGGTATTTATGGGAGAATGTGTGCAACTGAATATATAATTATTAAATCATAAATTTCACGCTCTCAACTTCGGTGCATATGTACGTAACAAACTAATTAGTATTCACTTTGAAAACTAATTAATTCCCTCTTTAGCTAGGACAGAATTATAGATAAAGATGCACTCACAAGCAATAGAGAAAAATTGTTATTTGATTTCCTACTCGGAGTTACAACTGAAAATATGGATAACAGCGATGGTATCCATTAGATCAGTCAATTCTATTCATTGTAAGTTTTATGAAAAGTTCTTAGTCAGATCACTACATTATTTATTGGATTAATTTTTAGTTCTGGTCTATGGAGGTAACCTATTTTCATCGGAAGTTATTGATGATAATATTTATTAATAATCACACTGAAGGTCTTTTGATAAGGCGCCACATAAGATTTCTTAAGAAGATTGTACCTGCTAGGATAGAATATAACATAACCTTTCGACAACTTGGTCCCTCAAGGCTGTTTTTGCACTTCCACTTTTAAAAATAGTAAATCTTTAAACCTACCCTTTGCATTATAAGAAATCACCAATTCCCCTCTTAAGCTAGTCTTAACTGGAGCCTAGCCTATCCTTTCCAAACCTTAAACTTTTGTATTCTCGTCCAATTATCTTCAAAAATATATTACAGAGAAATCACATACTTTTATCTTATCAGTCCCCCAGATAACCCTGTAAATTTCAGTAAGATCACCTCTAACCATTCTTTTCTCCAGAGAAAATATGTTAAGATCTCTTTATCTATCCTTCCAGAGGATCATCATAATATCCTTCTTCTAAACTCTTCTCAGAAATTCAATACCCTTTCTTAGACAAGAAGAACAAAACTATGTACGATGTTCTAAATGGGGCCTAATTAATGATTTGTATATATAATTTTGTTTGTTTGTTTTGATTTTTGCGCAAAGCTACACGAGGACTATATGCGCTAGCCATCCCGAATTTAGCAGTGAAAGATTAGAGGGAAGACACTAATCACCGTCAATTCTTAAGCTACTCTTCTACCAACGAATAAGGGAATTGACCGTCACATTATAATGCCCCCATTGCTGAAAGGGCGAGCGTGTTTGATGACGGGGATTCGAACCCGCGACCCTCAGATTGCGAGTCAACCCCTAACCACTTGACCATGCCGGGCCTTGTATATATAAAGAATAATATCATTGGACTTGTGATCAATATATCTATAAATACACCCTAAAATTCTATTAGCTTCAAAACTAGCAAAAGAGTACTGCTTTGATGGTTTGAGTGAAAAAAAAAAAAACATTTTTCAGTCGCACTAATGAATGGGTTCTTTTCTATATTAAACATGCGATCCAAATTCTGATAACCCAAATACATTTGATATAGTCGAAGGTAATTTTCAAAAATTTGTCCAACTTACCAACTACTCCAAGTCATTATCTAACACCTCAACATCCTCAATGTTACTAGACATGCCCTTTCAATATCATTATGCAAGCAAGTAAAGGCACAAGCACTGACCCCGAGGAACTCCATTAGTAACAAGGATCCAGTTTGAATGGATTCCATTAATGAGAACTTTTTACTTTCTCCTATCGGAACACCTTATAATCCAATGAACTCGTCTTTTCTCAACCCCTAACAATGTAATTTTCGTAGCGTTTTTTTCTTTGTGGGACACCTTATCAAAAGCGTTTCGAAAATCTAAGTTCACAAAGTGTACACACACTTCTTCATCCAGAGAACAAGTAAAATCCTCAATAAAATATAGCAGATTATTAAAGCAAGATTTCTGTTTGGTAAATCCATACTGACTTTCATTTATGGTAACATTTTTCACTAAATGATTTCGTGAAGCTTCTTTCATCAAACACTAGAATTTTTCCTCACTAAAGAAGTAAGAGTAACTGACCTTACATTTCCAGAGACACTATTTTCATCCGCCCTGCCCCTAGTGGCACAGCGGTATGTCTGCGGACTTACAATGTTAGAAACCGGGTTTAGATACCCGCTGTGGGCAGAGCACAGATAGTTCATTGTGTAGCTTTGTGTTTAACTACAAACAATCATTCGCCCTTATAAAATAGGAGTAACACAAACACCTCTTCAGTTTTTAGAAACTTGCTCAATTGCTACTGACCTACCAGAAATTAAAGAAAAAGGTGTACATAACTGATTTTTGACATCTTTTAAAACCCTGGGGAAAACCTCTTGCTTTAATTTTAATGTCTCACTCTTTCTATTTACCACCAATGGATTAATATCTACATGATCCAATGTTTCCTAAAGAACGCTCAGAGTCACGAATATTGTTAATATCTTCTCTTGTAAAACAGTACAGAAGAAAACATTTACAGTCTCAGCAGAACCATAGTCTTCTAACATTTTACTTGGCTTTAACATACAACATTCTTACTCTTAGTTTTAATATTAACAGTCAGCTGTTTCTCATAAGCCCTTTCGAATTTCCTGATTTCTTTTATTAATCAAATCACTAGCCTTTAGATAGTTCTGTAAATATTTCATCTTATCTGTCTATTTAAACTTCTTAAACTTGCCATTTTCCTTGGCTTTCTCCTTTATGTTTTTAATAAGCCAATTAGTTTTGAACTTCTCCGTTATTCTATTTAAGGAACATTTCTATTTTTTACGACCGACTTTTATTTAAAGGAAATATACTGAGAAGACTAACTTAAAGAGCACTCTAACAAAAAAAAAAGTTTTTGAAGATACTTTATGAAACAGTGAGGTTCGATGGTCATCACCGGAAAACTGCTAATGGTGCTTCACTAATTGAAAAGGTTCTGTAAATCGGCAAAACTCCTACAAAAACCCTTTGAATTTCCATATGTTGAATAAATTTTTCAGTATTTTGCAAAACCAAGGTTTTAAAAATTA